ACACAATCATAGTTGTTCATGGCTCTCTATGAGAGAGCTCACAGAGCAGTGCAGGTTCCAAGGAAAACACCAAGGCACTTGGCATTTGCTTTCCAGTTGCTAAACTGTGTGTGTGTGTGATTTTTTTCCCCATCTTTGAAGAAATATATATTTGTGTAGTGAATTACTTTAGTAACAAACAATGTCTCACTGCTACTCTAGGAGATGGAGGTAATCCAGGTTTGTCTCTTGCACCCTCTTACACCCAAACCCTTTACAATTTTCTTCATTCACCAAATTACTCCCTCACTTTCTAGTTAAGGGTGTTATTTCAGGCTTCTTGTCAGAAGCTGCCTGTCTGAGCCAGTACACAATACTGAATAAAGGCTTCAGTGTGTTCAAACATGGACACTACCAGTGAATTTACAGACTTAAAACCTATGGCCATTTTTAAAATGGATACATATACGTGCGCACAAAGGTTAGCTCTGTTTAGCTGCTTTGGTTTTACATGTTCTTAAGAGCATTTTTGGCTCAAAAATGTGATGTCTCTCATGTATTTGGAAAGACTTGTCCAAAGCACATGATCAACATCTGTTGGTTTCGATGTGGCAGAGGAGCACAAAACATTGCTGCTGTTTATATTTGATTTTAAATACGGATTTGGAGTTTTACTGTTGCTCAGCAATTTGAGAAATGGACTGGTGGTCTGGTTAGTAAAAAAAAGCAAGAAACCCACCTACATTGGGTCAGGGTTTTGTTAATTTTGAAGGAAATAGCTGAAAAGGATATAAATCAGACACTGCTGCTGTACTGCGCATGCCTGGCCAGCCTAGAAGAACTAAACTAGTTTAAATAGGCAGAAACGCTGTTCTATGATGGCCCGCATCTCAAAACAAATTTGAGCACAAAGACCATGGAAGGAAGTTGCTAGGAAACCTCTACAGTGCATGGGAGAAGTTTTGCAGAGCAGGCACCTGTAAGAGAGTCATCACCACCTGCCAGCCTGGGCATTTCCTAAAAACTGGGGTGTAAAATTGTAGACCACATTGATTTCTATAAATGCAGCATCAGAATGCCTTACAGCTCATTTTAAATCAGTGTAGCTCCAGGGGACTGTAAGCTATTCCCAGAACCATCCCTGAAGGCTTGACACTAAGGTCCTGTCTACAATAACACTGAAGCTCTGACTTCTGTGATCAGGCAAGGTCTGCCCAGGCTGCTTTGCTAGCACATGCCTGCACTCATCCTAATTAGGTTCTTAGCAAAGATCTTTGCTTTCGTGGGCTCCAACTTTGCCCATGCTGAGATTGCAATAAGGTAACTGTAAACCAGACTAACCCCCTGAAGGCAGGGCTGCTGTGTCTCCTCTTTTGCACCGAGTCTCAGGGTGGTTTTGCCAGCAGAGATTTCCTGCAGGCATGCAGGAAACCCACCTTAGACGGGTTCTCGGGGGAGGGGGGGGGGATGCTCCAGAAAGTCGAGGTGCATCAGTCAAAAATGTTACAGCTGCAGGTCCGCAGTGTCAATGTGCACATATTAAAGCCCCAATTTCTGTACCAAGTAGTTATAATTATGATGATGTCTTAATCCTCTTAACACACGATTTCTTTACTATGGCTACATCATAGCTGAACCTTTTAAACCCATTTCTATGAGGAAACTGGTAGCTGAAAGATTGGGGAATCACCAAGGACATGTTTTTCTTTCATCATGAAGGCGTCTGTCATTGCTGCTCATGACTGGGATAAGACAGGTAATGACTATCAGGTGTTGCTAGGATTGTTTGTCTGCACACTTCCTTAGTAGCTTTTTCCAAAAATGGGAAGTGTAAGGCATGGGGATGGAGGAGTGGCTGCCATGAGCACAATGAACAGAACATGGTTTAAGAGTGTCCATGAAATTCCCTTTGTGTAGGAACCCCCTGAAGGTGTGTCACCAGCAAATTTCTGTCTGCCACCACCCGTCCCTGTTACACAGCACATTGCCCACTCCTCTCTACCCACCTGACCCATCACTGCTAAAAGCCATTAGCACTCAGAGGGTGGACAATGGGATCTTCCCTCCTTCAAAGATAAGAAATAAATGAAGAGAAACCAGGAATACATGTTAAGCCTGAGGATGCTTCTTTAAAGAAAGATTCCTTTTAAAACCAAGGGATTCATTCCACAACAAAGAAGGCACTCCAGAGAAGGTGTGATGTTGATATGCAGTGCTGATAACATGAAATGTGGCTCCAACAGGATTTTCCATTCTGGTTTATCTAGTCACTTGACACATAAAAAAGGCAGGATCCAGATCTTCAGTTTAACTTTAAAAATCCCAAACCTCTTAGGAAATTCTTTTTTACACAACATATAATTAATGTATGGAATCAGTACTGGTTATTCCTGTCAGGTTTAGACTAGTTCTGGACTTGATGGTCTAGCAGTGTTTGTGATCTCTGTCCCTGTGAGATGCTGTGGGAGGAAGGGCTCCAAAACAGTCAGTAATGACAGGAACTCAGCTGTTAATTTAAAGAAAAGCCCTCTCCTCCAGTATAGTTTCTGGAGCAAGAAAACTGTGCAAGAGCTATAGCAACATCTGTAGCTTTCCTGGTTTGGAACAAGTTTTCTGTGTTTCAGGAAGGATTACACACAAGGACAGAAAGCATTTTCAGTGGTGTTGCTGGAGTAAGGTCACATTCAAAGACTCTCATATCCCATGCTTTGTGACTCAGAAAACAGCACCCACCTCACAATGCTTTTGTAGTGGTGATGTTCACACCTGAGTGAGTTCCCTGCACCTTCCTTATGGCAACTGGGGAGAAACGGGGATCCAGCTGTACAGCTGCTGATGGGAATAGCCATGCCCTGGGAGCACCTCTCTCCTTCGGTGGCTGCAGAGAAAGTTTAGAGGGGAGTGGATGTGTTTGCTGTAGAGGTTTGAAGAGAGTGAAGCCCATCAAGGCAACTGCTGGCTGCAGCTGGGGAACATCTGCCCGACCCTACTCTGAAGGCAGTGCCACCCCAGGTGGGGATGCTGGGAGGCTTGCAGGTCCCACTTGGTGTTGGGTGATGGAAGGAGTTGCCTCTTGCAGTTGTCCATCCTGCCCCTTTGGAAGACATAGTTGCCCCAAAGCAAGGATGTGCTCCTCCCGTGAATCATCTCCTCACCCACAGACGTTGACATGTCACTACATGTCTGTTGGTCCCTGCGCTCACCACAGCCATGGGCATGACACTGATGCAGAGCAGAGCAGGGCCCAGGCAGAGCAGCTGAGTAGTGAGGACAAACAGGAAAGGCAAGTTCAAAGGCAAGTGTAACACAAAGGAAAAAGTGATGGTAGTAACACCAAGCAGCAGCAACAGCAGCTGCTGCACATGGCAGGCACAGCCCCGTGTGGCCCACTCGTGTCCACTGGACATCACATCAGGATATGCCATGGCAGCACCATATCTCCAGCTGGAAATGAGAAAGGGTCTTCCCCAAAGCAACCAGCACAGGCAGGACTGTTAGAGGCAGGATGCCAGAGTAAACCTAAGCCTTGCTCATGGCCACAACATCCATGTACCACTCCCAAAGCAGCAGCCCTCACAGACCTGAGCCTGGGAGGTACAGAGCACCTGCCTGATGCATGTGGGCCATCTCAGTGATCAGTGCTTCTGAAACAGGGTGTGATCATTACAGTTCATCAAAACACAGGCTTAATTTTAAACTCCTCAGTAATATTAGAAGTTACTGTCTGACCCTGTCTCACACCCTCACAGTGCTGCCAAAGGAGGAGGGAAAGAATTGCAAATTTACACGGTGACATATGGAGCAATTCAGAATTCATCCAAAATGAAGATGATGAGAACAACATTTTTGTCAGGTCTTTGATCCCTTTCAAAAACACAACCCTCTGGATGTGTTTAGAGAGGGCTCATGCTGTGTGCTGGGGTTTTTGTAATCACTGCTGACTAGAAGTGCCTGTCATCTGATTTGTGCATTTTTCCAATCTGTTTTATAGTACAATCAAATCGTTCCCACATTGCAAGAGATGCTTCACAAGTTCCTTGGGAGAGGATGACAAGTTCCAAGGCTAAGGTTTTTGTCCTCTAGAAAAAGAACTTTTCCATTTTTCCTTCCTAAACCATTTAACTTGATAATTACCCACAGAGGCTGAAAATCAATTCAAACAAATCTTGGCTCATCTCCAGGTATTCCCCAAAACTGGAAGCCAGCAATTCAAAAGAGATAAAAATAGAATGAAAGAAAAATCCATAAATTGAGCAACTTCATATTTCACAATACTTAAGTGGTGAAAACATCTCTTGTATAGTGGCATGTCAGGATGTACCTGATGCTTAGAGGTATTTCCAGGTAGAGGTTCAAATCCCTGTGACTGGCCCTAAACCAATGCAGGAACAAGATAACAGAAGCCCTTTGATTTTAGCCACCAGGTTATTTACATCTGTTCTGAGGATGCTGTAGATAATACCTTTGAGGCCCTAGGATAAACTCACTGAAGAATATAAGGCTGACACAGCTCCTGCTTCACCACGCTTAGTGCCGTGAGGTCGGACCTGTAAGCTGCACAGCTCATCCTTCTATTCCTGTGCTATGGCTGCACCTTGCCAGGGAGACCCTCATTGCAATCAAGAATTGCTCATCCTTCTTTAAACAGGAAAGAATGCAAAGGAAGGCAAAATTAGGGTTGGTGTTTTCTTGTCATTCCCAGAGCCTGTGCCTTGTTCCATCTGTGTGGAGAGAAGCCGTCACAGAAATGATGGGAGGCTGGCAAGGAGACCTGACTGCCAAGGGAAGACACTGTTAGTAGCCTGGAGTGTGCAGCCAATGTGGTATAAATTTAATTGGTAACTCATTTCTTATTAAAACTGACAGATTTTTTTCTTCCTAGTAGAACAGACAAGAGTGGAAAGGTTTCACATAATCACTGATTTCACTGAAACTAGACAGCATTATCAAGCCCTTTGAATCTTTTTCAATTTTATATGAATCCCATAAAATATCAAAACACCAGCTTGTAAACAAAGGACTTCAATAAGCTTTGTTTGGTATTTCTGTTATATTCCAATTTGGAATGAAAGGAGATGTGAAATAATCAACTTTCCCAAGAAAATGTGATGTCTGAAACTGTCAAGGAGTCCAGTGACCCCTGCTGATGGACAAGTCACCTCCTGAAAAGTATCCTCCTGCTGCAACAAATCCAGCACACCTGCCACAAAGGGAATTCTTGTTCACATCCTATTGGATGTTCAGGGTCACCCTCCAGGGTGGCAGCTCCAATTGCTAATACTGTGTTTTGGAGAGGTACTTTCTGAAGCACACTTATGGAAATGTAGAGGTCTTAACTGATGCTTGAGTAACACAGGCACATCTGTGACAAGTGGGTAGGCCTTAGCCTCATCCTGCAGAAGAGAAAACAAAAGACATATGCAAACTATTTTCTGCTGAAGAGAACATGGATATTGGAGAAATGAGAGTTCTCATTAAAAAAGTTCTCTCTCACACTGCACTAGCACATTGATTTCTACTCCTGCAGCAAAGCTGAGTTTCATTTGTAGGGGACTGACCTGGTGTGCTGGTTTAAAAGCTAACCAGCAGGGGAAATGAACTCAACTCAAGAGAGAGATTATAAGTCAGATTAACAATTTAATAAAATAATACAATAAGTACGATTATACAAACAATTGGTCTTAACCACAAAACCCAAATGTATAACCCAGCACCCTGGGGCATGAACAAAGTGGTGTTCCTTGGGCCCCCCCCTAAGTCCAAAGTAAAGGGAGAGGGGAAAAACCTGCTGGTGGGAGAGCTGTTACAGTCTGGTCAAAAGTAGTGATTGCAGTCCAGTTGAGGGTGGTGGTCTCAGTCTGGTTGAGAGCGGTGAGCTGCAGTCCTCCTCTGGATCCCACGAGTGGTAAAAAGGTTCCGAAACTCCAAGTTTATATACTCTCCAGTTCAGGCAGGAATGCTCAGTCCTTCCCTCAGAGCAGGGAATTCCATAAAAGGGTATGAGGATGCTCAGTCCTTCCCTCAGAGCGGGGAATTCCATAAAAGGGTATGAGGACAGCAACATCTTCCTGTTTCGCAGGCCTCTACTGATAACAGTTTCTGGGAAATGGCATGGAAGGCTATAGAATACACAATTTTGGGCTACACCCACCCAGTGATTAATTGGTCCCAGCTGTTCTAACTAGGACACCTGGACAGAAGCAGATGTCAGACTGAAAACTAACAACATCAAATGCACTTTCTCATACCAAACGACATTTTGTTTATTTACACTTGAGTGGACAAGATACCTGCAACAGAAGAACAAGACCCAGCAAATACACTACATACTGAACTGCACAGGCACCAGTGGCTTTTGGTACTTGTTCTCAGATGGGGGTTTGTACCCTGTGGGTGTTGTGCACAGCTGGATTAATACCCACCTCTCCCATTCATCCACCTGAGAGCTGGAAAGCAGTCTTCAGCTGCTCCACAATTTACATCTCTTCTGAGTGCTCAGTTTGCTGAGCTATTTGAACTAAATGGGAGCAGTAGGAATACAGTAATGTTGGCTGAAAACAAAAGCTGAAGCAAGGGGATTTTCAGAGCAGCTTTAGGGCCTGAAAACTGCTGCAATCCTGTTTGTGCTGGGTGATGTGGAGTCCTGTAAATGATTCTGGTTGTGACAGAGAGAAAAAAATTGAATTCATCAGCAGGCTGTTCTCTTTAAGCATTGCAACAGCTTTCAGATACTACCTTTGGGAAGAGTGAATTGGCTTGATGGAGGGAGTGAGGAGCTCTGCCATAGCATCACCCCCTCCAAATGTGCATGATAGCAAGCAGCCACTGCGAGTGCATCTTCCAAGTGATCTGCACAGCCCCACCAGTGTGAGAGTAATGGCAGAGGCCACAGCCAGGCCAGGCCCCCAGCATCAGAGGGGCAATGAGCAGGCAAAAAGCCAGATCTAGCAGGGAGAATTTGGAACATTTTGGGGTTAGAAGAGGCTCAAGAAAGGGCAAGCTTGATGAATGAACACAACTGACATGACATGGAAGGCACACCATGGGCTTTTGCTCTTCAAGGTGTGGTGCTGCAGGATGTTTTGGTCAAGATCCTGTGTACTTATGGGATAAAGCATCTTTAGCAACAATGCTGGGTACCATGGTGCCCTGAAGTGTGCTGGCAAAAGACCTGTCACTGCTTTAATTGTATTCAAACATGCAGAGTTAGAGTGAATAATACCATGAGCAGGTAAGGAATTGATTAACTAGTTTGCTATGAAAAAGAAAGGTGACGCTCATTTTCTTCCACCTGGACTGTTTAGACCAGACCTTGTTATGAAGAAGGACATTTGTTCATTTAGGTGTAAGAAGGCATAGTCCTGCCTCTCAGATCCTTGTCACTATGTGCCAGTGGGAGAGCAGGAGTGGAAGAGAGCCCAGGATGATGAAGGAAAACAAGGAAAAGACAACTTTTTAAAAGTTGACTAGGCATCAGTGTGTCTGAACAGCAGCGTGAGGAGTCAGTGCAAAGCATTCAATGAATCATTTAAATTTGCACTGGAGGAATTCAATCGCTCCATTATGAATTTCAAGTGGAGAAAGGATTCCTTGAAGAAATACATAAAAAGCAGTTATTGATATAACACGAATATTTTTCCCATGAAGGTTAAAAAGTGTTAAATGTGTCAGTAAAACCAAGAGAACATAAAAGGATGTCTCATTTACATAAACAGTGTGTTGGCAATCCAGAAATACCATTTCCAGGAGTTAATTCCTCAGGTTTGTATGGGAAGTCAATGCCGCTCCAAGGAGCAGGAGGCTGAGCTGGAGCCTGTCACCCTGGGTCTGCTCTAAGGCTTTCAGCAATACTTGGCTGGACACCTAGGTGCACAGTTACATGGCTAATTATTTCTGTTCCATATGGAAATTAGGAGAGGGGAAAACGATCATTATTATCCATTTGAGCACGTGGTTACCTGATTGCAGTGTGTGGCTGCAGTGCTCTGTGTGCAATTGCACTCTCATCATTTAAGCCCAGTCCAAACTGGGCTTAAAGTGATATCCTTATGCCCCACTTAAGAAGGCATTTGGAGTGTTAAGAGATTCTGGATGATACCTGTAAATCAGTACATCAGACACTGTCAAAATTTGACAGGTCTGAAAATATATTGACCAAACTCTGAATTGATCAGTTCTTGCTGAACTTGATCTGTTCTTGCTCAAAAGAAATCAAGAGAAACTTTGAAAGAATGGTCAATTCAGCCATTATGTCTGAAAGGACAATGAAGGCAGCAGTGCTCCAGCCCTGGGAGTTAGATTTTGGGGTTTTGGGGTTGGGTTTTTTGTTTGTGGGGGGCTCTGGAGGGGGTGTTTTTTGTTTTGGGGTTTTTTTTCAAGTTTCAGATCATTTGGAGTATCCTAAAGTCCATCTCTATGGACTCCCTGACAAGGCAGATTCTGAGCGGACAGCTCCCTGGCCCTGCACCGTGGGCAAGAAGAGGCAGTCACACCTGACATAAGCAGTGAAGGACATCTTCCAGTTTCCATCTCTTCATTCTGCTTTTACATTTTAGGAGCTTCTCAGCTTCATGGGTTTCGAGAAGACCTTGACAACCACGGATGCTAAAGTGATCAGAAACAATGAGCCAAAGAATCTATACTGTGTTTAACTTGTCTGTGTTGGGATGTTGCCTTTAAGGTCACTGTAGGAGTAGTTTCAAGACAACCTGAGACTGACAAGGACTGGATCAGAGATGGATGCTGTAGTATATGCAGTCCTTCATCCTCCTCCTCATGCCAGGTCAGAAGTGACTGTGCAGGATCCTTGGGAGTGCAGCAGACTTGAAGCAGTAGGATTTCCTATTCCATTGATAAGTAAAGAACATTTCAAAACAGTCCTTGCAAATTAGGCTTATTAGTGGACTCACTTCCTTGACAGCCCCAAATTTGTTTCATTGCCTGATCTCACTAGAAGTCAAAATTCACCTTGACTTCTCAGGGCAAGGACCTGATTAAGCTGAAGCCTTCATCATACCACAGTGGTTTTACCCTGCTGATTCTCCATGTCCCAGTAATATGGAGCATGCACGCATCAGCATGTCACCAGCAGCTCCACATTGCATTTACGGCACCGGCTGACTTGCAGTGAAGGAGAACCACTAAGAGATCCTCTTTTCCTGAGGGAGTACTGGAACTATCCCACCAGCAGCTGGAGTAACACTATGGCAGAAAGCCCTCCTTCCCCTAGGGAAATGGAGCTGAGTTGGTTCTTGAAATGACGGACAGCATGCCTTCAAGATGGAGTTGATCTGTACTCAAAACAATTCCCATTCATCCACATACCTCCTCAGAAGTGTTTGGTGCCTCTCAAGGGGGGCCAGCTAGTCAGACCCACAGAAATGTGAGTGCCACTTCCCCATGCCTGAGAAGTCCCCAGCTCCACAGCAGTGACGTTGGCCACTCACCTGCATGAGGCCACTCATGCAGGCCACTCACCTGCAACCTCACCTGCATGAGGTTGGTTACTCCTCCAGTGTGTGTCCATAATTACCTCTCCATGCCCAGAAGGGCAGGCAAGCTCTCCCACAGCTCACAGGAAATAATTACAGAGCAGCTCATCTTCCTGCAGCATGAAGCTCTTCCTGTTACATCCCAGAGGCACCAGCAACATTACTCATAGTGGGTGATGTTTCCCAGCATGATTCTCTCACCCCGGGTCAACCATCCAGCCCACTCCCACCTGGGGCTAGTCAAGCCCAGGACAGCACATTGATGCAGGGGAGCTGGGGAAGAATGGGAGTAGAGAACATGGCTCTGGCTGTGGGAAGCAGCCTATCAAGAAATGCTTGTTTAATACACAGCAGATTAGCTTGCCTCAGGAATGAGCTGTTTCTGTAAATCAAATGGCTTCTCATGAGTCAGGAGCCCAAACCTTTATTACAGCGTTGCATATTTTCAGAAACAGATGAAAAAGTAGCAGGTATTTTGGAGAAGCTGTTTCACACTGCTGTGGGTCTACTTCCAATTTATTTGGCTGGTTGCTGTGCCACATCCACAGCTCCCCAGCTTCACATGTGGAGTAGCTGGAAGTGGTGCGGCATGGTGCTGCCGTGGAAGAGGTACCCTCTCATCCTGATTCTTCCTTCATAAAGGAGTTAAAGGCAAAGGCAGGTGACTTCTTGGGCCAGCTTTGCTGAAGAAATGCCTTCTTAGCAGCTCCACCTACAGTACTCCTCATTCTCCTGATCTGGAGGTACCTTGAGTCTCCCTCAAAAAAGGAGTGAATGTTGGTCTCTGGTGGAGACTCAGCAGCCTCAGAAAGTCTTTTTGCCTACTTATGGTGGTGCCTTAAGACACAATATCTGCCTTCAGGAAGTGGGCCTCACAGCCATGGCAGAGAGCGAGCTTGTGTGTCACTGTGTGTTGTCCTTGTCTGGTGATATATGGTGGTAGCTGAGGGACTACCCTCAACCCAGACCATAGGTAGGCTGGAAGAAGCTGCGAAGTGGGACCCTCATTCTTCACCTTATAGCTCTGCTTTGTGGAGAGAGGTGACTCCCCACCACCACTGATGGAGTCTGTGGCCACCATGTCTCTCACAAGGCACCATACAGGCTATTTTTGTTTGGGTAGTTTAGCACAACAAGCACTACGGGGAGTGGAGTGGAGTAGCCCATAGCCTGGAAGCTCGGGAAGACCCTGTGTCCCTGCAAGCTGATGCACTCTCAATGATGAGCCCAGAGTGTGGGCCTAGCAGGCTTTTCAGGGCTGGGAAAGTCTGAATGAGTACTGAGTTGTTTAAAATACCTTTAGCTGCCTCATCAGTCATCTACTCAGTGACATTGCAGACGATACCAAATATACCATGATCTTTTCAGAAAGAAGCAAGACTATGAGAGAAGGCTGGGAGAAAAGGCAGAGAGAAAATAGAGGGTGGCAAGACAGACATTCTGGATTGTTTGAAGTGTGTAGCCAAAACCTGAAGTCAGTTTATGGGTCATCTGTGTACCTCTCTCCCACCAACTGAGCTATGTCAGCCTGGGCTCGAAAGGATTCACCAGCACAGAGGGGCCCAGGCGGTTGCTTTGGTATCTCTAAGGAAAAAACTTGCTCCACTGCTGTGGTATCAATATCAGGCCGCACATTTTTCCCGCAAAGGGTGGTGGGTGATAAACCTTGTCTTTATAGTTTATCCACCTGAGCAGGTCCGTCACTTCCCCACCTATCCCCCATTTCTCTCACTGTAAAAGGAGCAGGTAACATCAGTAATTCAGGGATTTTTATTGTTAACATTTGTTGGTTTTTGTGTACCAGGCTGAGGGGGGATCTGAGTTCTCAAAACCTTTAAGACCATGGGTTTCTGTGTAATGCCAGCACCCAAAGGGAGTGAAAGCCTGGAAAGGAATACCAGACAATCTATCCACTACCATTGTTTGCCAAGAGAACCAAATCAGTCTTTCTCCTCTGAATGCTTTTGAGGTCTATTTCCTAAGAATGACATCCACAGATGTCCTCTGTGGGGGCACTACTGGAAATGATCATGTAGGGCTGAGAATGCTGAAACTAAATTTGTAATACTCAGCTGCTGTAATCTGCAAACAGTGCTAAGTGCTGGAAAGAGGCAGCAGCCGCCCTCCAAAGCTGTTTTCAAGTACATATGATCATGAGAGTCACTTGTCAGCCACAGCAGGTGCCCACTTCTGCTCAGACTCAAGGAAGTCATGAGGGTGATCACCATGCAGATCTTTATAGCAATACCATAAAACACGAGATGAAAAATAACTATTTTGTCTAGTCTAGCCACTCATCCATCCCTTATAAGTACAAAGTGAATGATTGGCACCAGAAGACCAAAGGTTTAAAGTAGGGGTGTTTAACTAAAAACAGCAATAAAGGTATGAACAAAGCAACTCTGCTAGCATACAATTCTGGCTTAGCTGCTGCAGTAACAGGAAACAAGGCTACAAATTACTTTCATAGCTCTGTATTTCCATTTGGTTTAAAAACTACAGCCCAGTTTTCAGAAAAAATACATTACAAAATTCATTACAAAAATGAGCTTTTATTATTTTTAAGCACTGATTGCAAATATAAGTGCAGGTATGCAGTTGGTATGAAAGGGCCCCTGGGGATGAACAGCTCCACACAGAAGTGTTTTGGGGAGGCTCTGTAAACAGGTGTTGCTACCCCTGGGTTCACTGATTCCACAGAGGGCACTCACTGACACAGTGTTTCATCCTACTGCAGAATTTCCTGGGAGGTTTTGGGACATAGTAAGATAAGGCAAAGCCCGTGCTGTTCCCAACACATGGCAATGCACACCAGGAGCACTGCTGGATGCCGTGCTTCTGCCTGTGATGATGGGATGGGAAACAGGGCAGAGGAGGAGAGCAGCAGCTTGGCAGATATCTGTTTGATTGATAGGTGTCCACAGACACTTAGTTATCCCATGTAAGATGTTTGGTGATGCCCTCCAAGGTTATTTTGCCTGCAGGTCCCTCTGCTCAGTGCTCTGCTTGTGGGTCATCTGCTTGTGCTGATGATCTCCAGGTCTGGGAACAGTCTCCCTGGGTGAGAATGCCTACAGGGAAAAGCTCTCATCCCCTAGTATAAAGATGCAACTCAAAGGAGTCAGCAACCTGTGGGCACCCCTGCCTGCAGACCTTTCTCAGTCTCCTGAGGTGCTTGTGGTGAATCCTCAACCCCCCCAGTTTCGTGTGCCAGGAAGGTTTAACTTCAAATTATTTTCAAGCTGTTGTTTTCCCTGCAGAAATGTTGCGCTGCTACACATCCTTGTGTTCAGCATCTTTGCTTTGTAGTGGCTCTCGTGGTCCGTACTCTGTCAGGATGCTCAGTTTGAGTGGTTTTCTCCAGACCTCGTCTCTTCAGATGAGGCTTGGCAAACAAAACTCCCTCTGGGAAATAAAGGGTTCAGATTCACCAGGCAAGAGAGACCTCCTAAAGGACTCTTTCATGTATAGCCAAAGAAACTAGACAGTGTCAGATTTCAAAGGCAAAACACTGCCATCAGAAAGGTGTACAGGCTCCATACAGAAGGGACCCTTCACAACTTGGCTGCCTTTGAATTCAGCTTTTAAATAAAATCACTGAAAAAGTGATGCAAAAGTAATAACACATAAGGAAAGGGGATTTTTTTATGGACGAAACTACCTTTCAATATAAAATAAGCTGTCTCTTTTGATTTATTGATAAGCCAAACTCATATTTTGTCTTGGGACATCATCCAGCTCACCACTGGGCAGATGCCTGAGAGACGAGGGTGTTGGTTCTGCTGAGGCTGGGATTAGCTTCTGTATCACTGGCAGATACAGAGGGAATACGGTTCATGTCTTGGGCTCCAGCACTTCATCAGAGATGATGGGGTGGAAAGCTGATGGTGAATATAATTCCTGGAAATTGTGGACAGCCACACTGAAGCAACATTGTGCCTGAAACCACACCCAAGTTATGCTCCCATGGCCTGTGGCTCTGCTGCCTGGCCACTGTGCACATACCCCCACCATGCCCCAACCCCCCGGGGTGTGTCCCTGGGCTCCCCTGGTCCATGGGGGGAGTGGCAGCAGCATGTGTGCACGGACTGGGCTGCGGTTCCCGTGGCGACTGTGGAACTGTGACCCTTGATGTCACAAGGTGCCTGCTGGAAGGCTGCAGGAGCACCTGTGGCTCTGCTCACACGCTCACCACCAAATGAAAGTCTCGAGGCACCTGAGTTCATTCATGCCCTGACACACTTTGCAGCGTGGCAATGTCGGCGCGCGGTCACTTTCCAGAAGACACCAGCCAGCACCTGAGGCGGATACAGCGGCAGGTGAGGCTGCTGGACCTGCGCCTGCAGCTGCTCCGTGAGAAGCTGCTTGCAGCCCGCCTGCAGAGGATGATGACCTTTCACCGCTGCTGCCTGCAACTGCCTGAACCCCGGCCCCCAGCAAGAAGAGCCCTCCCCACAAGACTGGATGTGGAGCGACGAATCAACAGGTAACAGTTGCCTGCTTTCTACAAGCATCAGCACCCTTTAAGGTAGGATAAGGGAAGTTTGACATTGCTATCAGGAGCAAAGGTTGAAACAGATAAGTGGGATGGGAGAGAAATAGCCATTTTGGAGAAGTAAGTTGGAAGGGGAATGGGAAGGTAAAGGCTATCCTCTTGTTTTAATTCCAGAATACAAAGGTTTAGCAGGACATTGAATTCGTCTCATAGTCAGTGTCATTTGGCTTTGATCGACGTGAAGGGTTTTGAGCCCAAGGATGTGAGTGTGGAGGTGAAGGATGGGAAGGTGACGGTGTTAGCAGAGCACAGGGAGGAGCGCAACACTTCAGTGTCAAAGACATGTAACTACAGAAAATTCATGAAGGAGTTCAACCTGCCACCAGGGGTGAGCGAGGACGAGGTGACCTACTGTCTGGAATCCAACAGCGTCATGAAGATTGAAACGGCACCCAAGGGCTGCCCTCTGCTCCGGGACTACTGAGCTGAACCCAGGCACAGTCATTCCTCTGCCACATCCCTTCTACCCACCAGCTTTAAGTCTGTCCTGCTAACTGTGTGCTTACAATTTCTCTCACCTCTTCCAAAAAAGAAGACAGCACTCTGAGCAGATGTGTGTGAGCCTCATTTGAAGGGGTTTGGTGGGCAAACATAGGGGTGCCAGAAGGGAAACATGAAGATGTTTTTGGACATATGTGGCTGTGTTCACTTGCTGGGCAAGTGGTAGGTTGCAGGGCTGGAGGTGGTGGGTTTAGGGCTTACAATCTCATGGATTTTAAAGGCTGAGAGGCACCACCTATGGTCAGTCACATTTCTGTAAGGACACTTCTCTCAGTCCAACCTCTTCCATTTGAGTTGCAGGGTGTTTCTAGAAAGAAACACATTATCTTGATGATTATCTTGATGATAAACACATTGAGGAGAGAAGTCTTCTCCCAAAAAAAACCCCAAATTGTGCTCTTTGTCCCCTTGGTTTCGTTCTTGCAAGGACTGCCTGGCTGGAAAATAACAGCTGATAATAAATTTTAAGCTTTATGGGCTTAGTGTGTAGCTGGGTCAGTAGAGAACCATACAACCATGGAATGATTTTGTTGGAAGGGACTTTTTGAAGGTCATTTACTCTAGCCTCCCCCCCCTCTGTGAGCAGGAACATCTTTCACTAGAGCAGTTTACTCAAAGCCTCATCCAACCTGGCCTCTGGGCAACCTATTACAATGTCTCATCACCCTCAACATAAAAAAATCCTTCCTTATGTCCAATTTAAATCTACCCGTTTTCAGTTTAAACCCCCTTGTCCTGTCACTACAGGCCTTAGTATAAAGTCTCTCTCTTATATGCTTCCTTTATATACTGAGAGGCTGCCCATGCACGGGTAACTTGATTCTGCTGATGTTGGCCAAGGATGTTTAGACCTAACACACCTCACCAGGGAGGTTGCAAGGGAGACTCCTGTGAGAGCAGGTGGCAGGGATTGGGACTGAGGTGCTGCAGAAGACTGTCTTCCTACAAAGCAACCCACTGAGTAATAAAACTGAACCCCTTTTAGGATACAGTCTTCGCACTTTGTAGTGATTTCTACAGAAGCTCTCTAAGTGCGCAGAAGGGAAACATATTTCAACACCTCTGCTTTACCCATGATTTGCAAAACGTATCGAGTGCCACAGCAATCACAGGGCTAGCTGTAACTGCTCCTATCTTTATAGCTTATCCTTTAACACATGCTCATCATACTTGTCCCTAAATTAGGCTTCTTAGGCTCCTAACACCAAATTACACTCCTGAGCACTTTACTGAAAGATGTGACTTTCTGAAAAAAAACTGAATTCATTTTATATCCTGTGAAATGCTAGTCTGGGTTGGTAGGACAACCTTTAGGACTTTTTCCATAACAGAAGCAAATCACTGAATAGTCACTTGGTTTTGTGAACACCTACATGCTGTTAACAACTCGGACCATACCCCAAAATCTGTACCCTCCAAACACTGCTAACCTGAGAGTTTGCAAAGAGAAAATACCTTTGGAAAATCATCGTTAAGAAGCAAGCCATGCTCACATCAGCATCTCTCATAAAACAAATTCATTTGCCACTAGGTGGCAGATACTATTTTTTTTTAAATTTATCACGGTGCAACTATTTTATTCTAAGCAAATCTGCTGAAGGTGGTGTCACAAAGCAATAAGTCTGGGACACACTGCAGCTGGTATTTTTCTTTGTTATGCAAATAGCAAATGAAGAGGAGGGCAAGAGACAGAGGTGTTTTTTGTGATCCTGAATGTGCAGGAGCCCTCGGGACAGACCACCACCACATTAGGTTGCTACACTGGATTATATCGACCTCAGATCCTGCAGCTCTCCCCCTTGGAGTACAGATCCTAGATAAGGCAACTTTCATTTGCTTCAGCAGCCCAGCTCTACTCCAGTTATCAACCCAGCAAGGGCTTCCAGGAGTTCATGTATTCTTCAGCGTATTGCTGCAACAAATTATTTTGGGGGCTAATCTTGACGATTCTCATGTAGCAGATACTCTCTCTGAATTCCCTGGTATGAGGAAGATGCCAGAGATGGTGAATTGGCTCTGTAGTTCTAAATGTTAATGCATTCTTGAACTCTAGTCTTATGGAGGCATTTATAAATAGCCAAGGAATTTGTAACGAGAGGTCATCTGAGGATGCTAAATCCAGGCTTCTCCTCAGTCATCGATTTCTAGGGGATTTCCTGCAGCCAAGCAGTGCTCTGCGAGCTTAGGCTGTGTAGAACTGCTGTTTCTCTCCTAGCTATTGAAAACCTGGAGAGAGCAGTCCCTTCGTGGGAAGATGTGAAGTGATGCCAGTTTTCCTCTCCCAACACTCCCGTGTGCTGCTGCTCCCGAGGGCACAGCACTGCTTGGGCAGGTGGCCACTGCTCTCCCAGTGGGCAGTGCCAGTCTGGCAAGGTAAGTTGATGCCTGTTGCAGGGGCCATCTCTGCTTCTCACATCTCCTTTCCCTGTCCTTGGAGTGTTGGCATGGCCAGCCTGTTGGGATCATGGCAGCCAAGTGGGGCCGACACAGCCACCCTCCACTGCACCTCCACATGAGGTGAGAAGCTTCATCCATCCATCGTCGTGTTTGTGCTTAAAGTTAAATTTAACCATTGTCTCTGTTAAGCTGTTTGGCACCTCAGTCTCTTAGATAAACTTTCCAAGTCTGTTTTCCTTCATCTCCCCTGGAGAAAGCCCTAAGAGTTTAGAAGACAGACCAGGATCCATGGCTTGAAGTCTGCCTCTGTACTGAAAACTCAGTAGATTTGTTGTCATTCTGGACCCTGCACTTGTCACCTCATTAATAATCCTGCACTGAATTTAGGTTATGAGTAAGCTGATCCTTCCAGCACGCTCAGCATGACTGTCGGGAAGCTGCCATCTCCACGAGCATGGGATGCTGGCCCGTGTTTCTCCCCTTTTACCTTGCTAGTCCCTTCATTGGTCTCTGGAATAAAAAGTTATTTTTTCATCTCCATTTGTCTTCTAATTCCTCCTGCCATCCCATCTGTCCCCCTCCACCTCAATTGCTGTAGGTTGGACCTTTCTTTTAACAGGCAATGTGTGGGGTTTTCTTATTCTCTTGAAACCTCAGCCAAGGTGAAAAAAACTTTGCTGTCCCAAAGGTTATCCTATCAATTACCCTATTATGTGTAGATGGTGTGAATCATCCCCATCCTATTGTCCTTCTATATTTCAGCATTAATTACAAATAATAGCAGGTGTCTCAGCTCTTTGGTCCCCTGTGCTAGTCCCTACCTCGGGTGTTGCATGTAGTTTTTAAAGGCCTATAGGTGACAATAATGTTATAATTAAAAAACTGAAAACCAAAAATCATCATCCCCTGTGCCTCACTAAAACATTTTTTAACTTTCCAGAAAAATAAAATGTAGCTTCTTTTTGTTTGTTTCTTTTGTTGGTTTTATTTTTGCCATAGCTTTTTGCAGTTACACCTGGATGTGCAGAGAAGCCTGCAAAAGAGAGACCTGCCAGGGCTCTGTCTCAGAGTCACACGAGTGCACATGGCACTTTAAAACTTATCAAAAGAGAAAACAAAATCTCCTCCCTGTTGAGATGCGGGCCCCAAAGCTTTGGAGGTTCCCAGGTCTGAACTGAGCTGGGGCCCACAGCAGCCAGAGTACAGGACTGGGTGGTGACAGCACTCACCCATCCCTCACAGTCCCTTTGCCCTAGGGGACTGCCCTAGGGTTGTCGGCTGGGGGTCACTGGCCACCACATGCCCATGTTTGTGGGGTGTGGGGTTGAGTGCCTGCAAGCACAGAACTGGGAACACCACCCAGAGCATCTGGCTATGGACCAACAAACATTTCAAGAAGGCTTAGAGCCAAAAGTCAGGTCAGTGGGAAGACAGAGGGGCTGGAAGTACTCATCAGTGTGCTCACAGCCCAGTGATGAGCAGCCCCACACCAGGCAAAGCACTGGATCCAGCGGGACCCAGCACCTTGGGCTGCCACCGGGACAGACTCTGCC